CTTTCCTGGCACTCATCCCCTGCTCCTGGCTGAGTACAGGGGATCCCACAGGCAAAAAGCCTGGAATGAAACACGTCAGAGGCATGAAGAGGTCGGCTCAGGCTGGCAGTTTGTTGGTGGCATGGAGAGGCCACACCGTGGGGTGGCACTGTCCCAGCCCACACCAACAGCCCACACCACGACAGCTCTGCTCTTGGGTACGGAACACGGTGGCCTCTCTGGGTGCAGCCGTCCCCCAGCATGGCCCCAGAGCCAAAACATCTGCTCCAGGTGCCCACTGAGACCATCCCCAGGGGCTGGGGAAATGGATTAGGCTTTTGCAAAAGTAGGAGGGATGGACAAGGCAGGACTCTGGTACTGAGAGCAATTAGTGAAGACAAAGTGTCTTTGATAGTTTGCTGGATGCAAAACCCTATTCTGCAGAGTAAAGGAGATGGTGGGGATGCTGGTGGGGATGTAACCGTGTCACTGAAGCCAGAGTGTGAGTCTCTATGGTGTGTCGGACCGTGGGGAACTCGCTCACTGACAGCAGATCTGCTGTTCCCAGCCAAGAGCGGCTGAACGTGCCGTGTGGCTTCAGGACTCTCCTCTCCTTCTCTGCAGGTACCGATCCCAAGGCCGAGGTGTTCATCGTGGCTCAGTGATGTCTCCCAGTACACGTGGATGTCCTCCCCCCAGCCCAACCAGGGCCCTTGCTCCCTCCTTCCCCATGGGTCTCCATCCCCCACGGTGCAGGGAAGCCCTTGGCACCTCGGAGGCTGCTGTGAGACTGCATTGTGGCCACGGGGCAGGGGATTTGCCCGTCCCCTCTGACAAAGCCACATGTTCCAAAATCCAGTGAAGCTCAGCAGGACCTGTGACTCCTTCCAAGAGCCTGCAGGAACATTCCAGCAGCGTGGGGAGAGTCAAGCTCCAATGGAATTATTTAAGACCAGACAATGACCATGAATTGCTCCCTGATGTCTCTTTGGGGACGGTCACCTGGACCTACAGGTACAAATACCCCCAGACCTGGGTCCTCAGCCCAAAGCTGGCCATGACCAACTGCACAAAGAAACAACTTAACATCACCCGGTGTTAATTCTCCCGCTGCTCGAATCTCTGCAGCGTTCAGCAATTCCCACCAGGCTGGCTGCGAGGCTTCGCGGGGCTGACGATGGGAAGGGGAAAGCAGCAGGTAAATGCAAGTCATTATTATTTAATTGGATCGATTTCTGGTTTGCATTTCGAATGACACGTCAGTCGCGTCCGTTTGGCAGCCGGACCCCGCCGCGCCGCTCTGCTCTCCGTTTCAGCAAACCACAGCCCATGGGGGCGGCACGGAGTGGGATCAAAGGAGGCTTAAAACCCACCATGATGAGGAAGGGGCAGAGGAAACCATCACAAAGTGACTTGAAGAGCCTTCAGCTGGTCTCTGTTTCAAATCTCAGATGGCATCAATCTGAAATTCTCTTTCTCAGGCTGAGGAGGGAAAGAAAAAAAGCATTAAAAAAAACCACACACACACAAAAAAAAAAGACCAACCAAATCTGAATCAATCCCCAGTGCAATTAGATACAACCTTTAATCTGTCAGGGCTGTGAGATCATACAGCTTGCATGAATACTAGTAAGTGTTTGATATTGGTACAAGCTTTCTTAGGATGAATAATTAAACTGACTTTATCCATTAAACCTTCCCTGTTAATATTTAAATATGTGGCTGTGTTTTAATGGCTGGGGCCATCTCGTCTTCCGTACAGGGGCTTAATTAGAAATTTTAGTGCAGCCTGCCAGAGCCTCAGCACCAGCAGCACGGTCAGAGCGGCTCAAGTCTCCGTGTCTTTTTGTTTTTTAAGCAACTCAACACGTCTGTCTACCTGCAGCAATCCTGCTGGGGCCCTGGGGCTGGGCTCACGACAGGTGGGTGCTCGATCCTCGTCCAGCAAAACGGTGTTAACGCAGGCAGCCCCGCTCCTCCCGCAACAGGTTTCAGCCCTTTCAGTGGGTTTTGTACCCAGGTTGGGGCTGTGACCAGGCTGGGCTGCTCCACAGGTCAGGACCCTTCACTTGTGTTCGCTCACTTGTAGGTCAAGGTTGGGGTTTTTATCCAGCTGTGGCCATTGGACAATTCACTGGGAAAAAAAAAAAAAAAATAGGTTCATGAGGAAAGAGAGAAAATGCCAGCAACCCTCATTATGTCACACCACGGGAAAGAAACCAGATTAATTACTTGAATACTTGATTGAAATCCCCGGGAGCAGCGTATCTTTGATCCTGCTTTGCCCCACTCGGAGGCATGAGCTGCCGAGGGCCCGCGGGGACGTCTCCAGGGTTGGCCATGGATGCACAAGCAGACAGGAGC